CCCCCGATGCTCACCTCCGTCGTTTCGAGCAACGCTTCGTAGGCCCGGCCGTCGAACCTTCCAAGCGCGCTGTTGAGCTGGAAGTCACTTAGGTCCCTGGGTGAGAGTCGGCGCAATGTGCGACGATCACCGACCAGGGACGCGCGGAGAAAAAGCAGCAGTGGGTTGGCGGTTAAGTCGTTGCAGCGGAAGAGAATGTAACGTCGCGAACGAAGCCGAGCACGACAGTGCTGTCTGCGGAGACCCCGCCGCCGCGCGAGATGCCCGGCCGGTGGTTGAACTCAGAGCTGGTCCGCAGTGGCCAGCGCTTCTCGTCTATCAGAGAGATTTTTTTATTGAAGAAAGCACGTGTTGCATTGCATTTGAATGGCAGCGAAGAGTAGAAATACAGCGGCACGAAAGGCTCACCAGGTGTCCAACAAGCCAAGCAGCAGCAAGATTTATTGTATGCACGTGTTGCAGCATGTGGAGAGTAGACCTACAACCGCACGCTCTCTGAAGCCTCGCTAGGCATCGAAGAAGCCAAGCAGCAGCAAGAGGTGAATAAATAGTGCCTTCTAAAAGAGTGCCATTTCCTCTGCGGAATACCAGACATCTCACCACGAGTCCGTCAGAGGAGTGCAAAGAGGAGGAAAGACTACATACATCGATACGATTTGTGGCAGCTCATTACGCGTCCAAGAGCCAAGGAGCAGCTAGACGTGCAGAAATAGTACCTTCTAAAGTAAAATGGGGTCGATCTTCCACTGCGGATAACTTACCAGGGGCCTCACCGCGTCCATCAGAGGAGTACAAAGATGATAGAGGAAGACTACGGGGGCACGGCTTCAGACGGAAGTAGAAAAATAGGCTATAGCATTACGGTTTGATGCGGGCGGCGCGTCCAAGAGCCAAGTACCAGTTAGGGACAAATAATTACCACTGGGAGTACTAGGTTTCATCATAGGCGTGCACAGAGGCGAGAGAAGAAGGCTACAGCAGATATACGGTTTCCGAAGGTTGGCTCACCAAGCGTCCACCAACGATACCGCCATGGGCCGAAGAAGATGGAGCACTTCCACCACCTGGTCCCGCACCCATCCCGCCTGATCGCCGTCAAGGAAACCTTGAAGACAACGAAAGAAAACACGGGTAGGGGGGCATCCACGAAAAAAATTAAAGGTTATGACGTCGTCGAAAATAACATGCAACAGAACACAACACTGTTGGACGCCGGAAGGACGGCTACTAAGACCTGCTAGCGAAAAACTCAACTGCTAGCGACACAATGTAAGGTAAGCACCGCGGGTGCTTCCGAGTCATGCCCGACGGCGGCGCCATGGTGAACAAGGTAAGACCGCAGATGGGAAAATTAAGGGGGTGGGGGGGGGTGGGAGGTCAACATAACACCTACCGCACTCAACACAGTGTGACATATGCCACATACAGCAGCGAACTCATCGCGCTCTATGTAGGGTCGAACATCATTTGGTGTTGAATCGCCAACGGCAAGCCGGCGATTACATGGTGGGGACAACTTGAGGACACACTTTGCTGGGGCCGCTGTGTCCCTTGTCATATTTTCCTGTGTTTCGCGACAATCTCAGCTACTGCTCCTGCTGTAGCTCCATTTTCTCGCAAAATATTCTCAATTGTGCGGGTGCGCTCATAGTTTACGACGCCCCGTTGTTACCAATTCTTCATTTCTTTACGTTAATCCACGTTCTCAACACCGTCTGCCAGGCCGTTCACTGGGTTATGACGCCCCGTTTTTTTACCAACTCTCTTTTCTTCACGTTTTCAAGTGACAACAAACACCGCCTCCTTTTCGGGTTGAAATGAGAGGGGGCGAACGCGCCCCGTCAGGGTACGCGCGTCGTCCCACTGGCACGCGGAGAGGACCTTAGGCATCCAATACATACAGAGATATTGTATCCGTATCGCAGGATATGAAATACGATTATGATTCATCCAGATATAGAGAATTGTTTCGCAATGTTCGATACCACAATACAGCCATCGCATAGTGTGCATATCGCAATATATACCCCGCATCCGATATGTGACACCGAACACTAGCCGCCACGGTCGATCTTGATGCGCTGCTACGTACGGTACACATCCTACACACCGACGCGCAATAACGAAAAATGCGTTCGTTCACCGTCCTCGACAAAGTCTCCCATGTCGTTCTGCAGCCAGTACAGGCCTAGCAGGAGCAGCAGGAGCTCCAGAGCGTAGGAGGTGTGGCCATCGAGGGCGTGCTGAGGTTGATATTCGTGGTGCACCGGTGTGTCATCGCTGGCGGAATCTCCAGCCGCATCCACTACCGCCTTGAAGGCCTTGAACACCAGCAGGTAGGCGTGGGCGTGACTCGCGCGATAAATCTGAGGGAAGATCAAAAACAGCAGAGGCCGCACGAAACGGAAGATGATTGGTGTGGTTTTCGTCCACACGTATGCATGGCGAAGAAGAAGACAGTCTCCCTCCCCCCATGGTTGTCTGTCTCTCTGCAAGGATCTTGCGCTTGTTCCGCCACCGCGGTACCGCCGCAGGTGGCACGACACGAAATATCACACCTCCTGGTCCGATTTTCGAAGCTAGATTACTCTGTAGGAATAGCAACGAAAGTGCTGAAAACGGCGACATTGAAACCGTCTCATCGAGAGCTTTCCGACGACGTATCATCTCGTCTATGCATCCTCTTCGTCGTGGAGTAATCGAGATTTTAAAATCGTTCCGGGGGGTGTGATATCTTGTGTCATGTCACCTACGGTAGTATCATGAATCCTTGACTCACCCGGTAGGAAACTTGATTTAGCCCACACGGGGGGAGAACAACAGTGAGCGACACGTCGGACTTTATCCCATCAAGATTCACTCTCTAACCGTGGCTGCCTCATAGTTTCGGCTCTTTCCCCTATGATTACGTTTTCATCGAAGAAGATGGATCCACCAAAAACAGCAGCTTACATCGCAGCGTATCCTTCGAACAGATCAATCACCTCGGCGAAAGCCTCAGCCTTTTCAACAAACGTGGCACGCAGTTTTCCGATTTTCGGTCACCCCTCCAAAAAATTTCGCCGCATCTTTTAATGAGCAAACAGAAAACTGCGTGCCATCTTTCCCTTTTCCGACGTTATCTGCCTCCCTCCACCCCCTAGCCAGGAGCAGACGGTAGGTGTGCTGGGGCATAGAAAGTGGGTTGAAAAGGCGGGATTGATATCGATAGGAAGGTGGGATAGGCAAAACACTTTTGAGCCACTTTGGCAAACCAGGAAGGAACGAAGGGCCATCGGTGATCGGTCCGGTGGGAAAAAAGCTCCGTTCTCTCGTCGATGACGCGTGATCAATCGTCTCAACAACTAAGGCCAGCTGTTATGGAGAATTTTTTTTCCATTTGGAATCCCGATTTCACGCCTGTTGCATGCAGAACCACATGGGACCGCAGAAGTTCTGCGACGTTCAGTGAAAAAGAACAAAAACGCGCTTTAACGCTCAGTACTCCCCGCATCAAGATCCGTTTGCAACCAAATCTTCGAGCCGCACAACGCATTGCTGTGAGCCTCTTCGAGTCAAGTTTCGGGAGCTGGCGTGCAGTGTACGTTCATCATGTTTGGTCAATTAGGAACTACAGTTTGGAAATGTTTGACGATCCCGGTTGGAATTCTTCGCGAATTTCACAAACTGGAAATAATGAATTTGCTTTCATATCCGAGGTATGCTCCGCGCACACCATTCTAGCCGCCTAGACTTGGCTCCTACAAGCTCACAGCAATGGAGTGTGCAGCCTTGACGGGGTGATAGCGAGCAGGGGTCTGTGAGGCGAGGACTAAGTGACGAAGCACCTTCGTGCGCTCTGCTCTTCATCTATTCAGTACGCTGAACTCCTGCTTTTCGGGGGTGGTTGAGCATTGTTTGCCGACCCCCCGGATTCCAAATCGGAAAAAAATTCCATAAAGCATGCAAAACATGACTACCCCCCCCCCCCCCCCCCCCCCCCCCCCCCCCCCCCCCCCCCCCCCCCCCCC